TATATATATATATATATATATATAAATATTATTATTTTTTATTTTGTTTCAGAAATACTGTTATTTACATTTTTCTGCTGAATACATTCTGGTGAATATTTTTTTCTGGTAAATATTCCTTAAAAAATGTTTTAATTATTATCATTAGTAGTAATACTATCATTACATTAAGTAATATATTTGTCACAGTTTCTTCAAGTTAATAAAACTTTTATTTTGACGGGTTGCTATGAAGACCTTCAAGTTTCTGATTGTATATGATATGACTATAGTAGGGTGACCATACGTGCCATTTTCCCAGGACGCGTCCTGGCCAGGATTTGTTTTGGCTTTGTTTTCCTGTTTTCATGCTTGCTGAAGGTAATGATCGAAAAGTAGTTTGACCAATAACATGCAAGCATTGTACATAATAGACCAATCATGGCGTGTGAGAAGGTGGGATCTACGGTCAAAGCGATGCAATTACGCATACATATTAGGTGTGTTCGACTTAAAAACAGCACGGCTCAGACCGATCAGTGTTTGACATCAAAGTACCTCGAGAGCGTTTCGAAAGCATAACCGTCTGTATGGTACTTTGATGTCATACACCGATCGGTCTGCACACGCAAACAAAGCCAAAACCTAGATATTTTAGGCAATATAGAAATCCTGGCCAGGACGCGTCCTGGGAAAATGGCACGTATGGTCACCCTAGACTATAGTTTTTCCTCAAAAGAAATGGAAAAATCCTCATGAAGTGGCTCTCAGAGCATGTGTTCATGTACTCATATATTGAGGCAGCAGAGGCTGAAAACACTGAACGTCACACACTTTAGTATGTGTAGTAAACAAAACCACGCGTCTGCGTTGTTCATTCACAGAGACACGCAGAACATGCAGGATTCACATTTAAATAGTTTTTTTGCGGCTTAATATTCACAGACACTAGTCCATATCGTGTTTTGATTTAACTGTACTGACCTACTTTTGATTTATCCATCCAAAATTTGGCAAATTCCGTGACATTTCGTGTTATACAGTAAATTCCATTTTTATGACTTGATTCCGCAATTCCGTCCGCGTTTTCCACATCACGGAAATCATAGGGTCCTAGTTAAATAGTACTACAGCACAATGTGAGTGCAATAAGCTGTGTTTGTTTTTCTGATCTGATAGAGCGTTTGGACCCCAAAACGGTGACACTTGATGGATTGTTTCAGCTCTCACCGTCATTAGGAAAGTGCCTTTTATTGGGGTGGTTGTACTCTCTGTGGTGGGCGTGAGTGGGAGGTCCAGGTGGATGGTTGACTGCAGGATGGGTACCTGTAGAGTCCCGACTAGATCCAGACGGTTCTGGTCTGAAGGGTTTTTTCTTGGCAGGATCATCTTTCTTCTTTTGCCCTTTCTGTAAGAGGAGCAAGTGAGTAAGTGGTACATGAGGAGAACAATGTCATTGAGAACTGTGAATTTAAGATATGCTTACCTCTTCTTCCTGGGAGCGCTTCTTTTGAGCCATCTTATACAGCTTGTGCAGTTTCCGGGCACCAAACTCAGTAAATTTAGAAACAAAAATCCAGAGGTTTCTGACAAATGAAAAAAGCGGGGTTGAATATACTGTCCAAATATAATGGGAACTCTTGAAATCGGATGTGTAATGTGTAGTTGAGATACCTGCGCCAGGTCTTGACGTGCTCTGGGTCACTGTACGATTTAAGGCACTCTGTGATGCGGTCTCCGATCTTTAGCAGGCAGGTACGAGTGTGCTGCAGCTGCTCCTGCACTGACAGCTCCTCGTCTGGCTTATCCAACTGCTTCAGAGCCTTCTTCACCGGCCTCATCCGCTCCTTACACTGCATACACATTACACATTATCAACATACTTCTGTGTACATTACAATTATACATCACGCCTAGTAAAGGGAAGATTGAAATGAAGAAATGAGAATTTTAACACTCACAATGCTGAATGTTTCCTGGTCCAGCTCATCATCTTCCTCTCCAATTGGTACAGGCTCACTTCCTGCAGTGATGTGCACAGGGCCTTGAGCTTTCTTCCCTTTTCCTCCTGGTTTGGCCTGAAAATGTGAGAAGTTGAGAAGCACACGGACACATGATATAACTTTATTATGTACAGATTTAGTCTAATCCAGCTTGGTTTAAAAAAAATAATCTAATTCTCAAAAACAGACAAACTAATACTTTTAATATTTATAATACAGAGAATTGAATTATAACAGCAATATAATTTAGGTCTAAATCATGAGTTTGAGTCAACCCGTTGATCTAAGAAACTAACAACCATAGTGTGCACAGGATGACAGTGAAACATAATACTTAAGTCCAAGTTTCTAAAGGAAATGTTCTCATGCTGAAACATAATACTGCAGACTCTGATGCCATATAAAATACCTTCTCTTTTTTGGACTTGGAACGCTTTTTGTCTTTGTCCCCCTCCTTCTCTTTTTTAGGAGTTCCTGTTTTTTCTTTGTTCTCTTTGTTATCCTTTTTCTGTTTCTTCTTTGTGGGTGTTTTTTCAGCTCCATCGTCCTGGAAAATGAGAGAATTGTAAATATGCAGCCTAACTGGTTAGTGCTGTGGATTCTATGTCTTTATATCGCTACTTTAACAAATCTGTTTCTTTATATAGGTGATACGATGCAATAAAAGTAACATACCTTCACCTCTCCCTCTTCTGACGGGTTGTCGGAGAGACGAGGAGAGGTGATTTCATTGACCAGATCATTGTTAGGGGCCTTGTTCTTCATTCGAGGTTTCCTCTTTCTGGGTTTGGTCTGGGAGGTGGGAAGATACAAAGAATGAAATTGTCATTAAATATATTGTCTGAAACTGATCTTTAGTACATGATAAGACCACCTATTTTTCAAAATGCCTTTGCTAACGCATTTTTGCTTAAAGCTGCTGGCCCAAAACTGTGTATGGCCACCACAAAGTTATCTAATCCTTACCACCACTTTACAATATCATATTGTCCTCCAAACCAATAGGTGTCGCAAGTCTAAAAACCTGCAAACCTGAAAAACCCACAATCCTTACCTCATCTCCCGTTTTAGCAGCATCTTGGCTTTCTTGCTCCTTCTTCAGCATCTTAAGCAAGTAGTCTGCTCGCATCTGTAACTGCTTTGCCTGAGGTTTCTTTTTAGGGTCATCTAGGAGAATCTACAAATAAAGACAACAGGACATTTGAGGTCAGGTAAGGCAAACTTGCACATTGTTGATGCTGCTTATTTAACTGTGAGCAAGCAGTAATTTGACTTAATAATGTACCTTCTCAGAAAGTTTGAGATCAGTATCGGTCTTGATCAGGTCCCAGTTGCCGTAGCCGTGTTCATAGATACCCAGTAACAGCTGTGTGTCATCATGAATATCCCAGTCTACGTCAAAGTGTGGAGTCTTCACCCGACAGGTCAGCTGAAATCTAGCCAAATGGAAAACTTCACTGACTCTTTTCAGTCTCATTTTATTCCTTATTTATAAAAGGATCAGTGTTAAGAAAACGTCATAATCAAATGCTTTAAAAATGCATTAGATGCAATTAGAATTGAAATTGGCTGTGTATCATAAAAAGAGGAATTTGACAGAAAATTTAAAGTGACACAACAGAGAAAATCCATTAGTCCATTAGATTGTGATTTTATTTTAAGTATGCCCATTTTTTTCAACTGTTTATATATTTTCAATACAGTCACAATTTACCACATTATGTTCAGACAACTTTATACATTTTGGCAGACAAATTTAAGTCTATAAACACTGTCAACAAAATCTATTGATTATATAATATTGAGTAATTCTTTGATAACTGATTATATATATTAGACTTGTGCCGGTATTCGGTAATGAGATATATCACGGTAATGAATATGCACGATATTGTTATCGTGGGCACTTCTAAATACCGTGAATAATTATATATTACAAATTATTCAGAATTTTGAATGCATTTTAAGAATACTTTTCCCATAAACTGGTCAAAATGCACAACACCGCTGTATGCTGTGTGAAAGACACTGCACTCTGATGTAAACAAGTGCGGACGTGAAGCACATGGCGGAACATGTGAGAGATTATTATTTCTGCAGTTTAGCGCCATCTGCTGTCAGAGAGTGAAAGTGCGCTTTCATCCAGAGCGTCTCTCACATGTTCCGCCATGTGCTTCACTTCCGCTTGTTTACATCAGAGTGCGCAGTGTCTTTCACACAGCATACAGCGGTGTTGTGCACTTTCACTCTCTGACAGCAGATGGCGCTAAACTGCAGAAATAATAATAATAATAATAATAATAATAATACTGCACATTTACATTTTTCTCTTAAATAAATTCTGGTAAATAACATTTGTGGTAAATACTCCTTTAAAAAGTGTTTTTTGATTATAATTATATTATTAGTAGACTAGAACACATGGATATGTTGTCATTCTTACACTATAATACTGAACTTTGATTTCAGTGAAAATAAAAATAGTCGTTAGTGGCAGCCCTAATATATATATATATATATATATATACTGTATATGTTGTATGCATTTAAAATGTACTAAGTCAAATAATTATAATACTGAAATCTAAATGATTAAAAGCTACATATAGTGCAGCTATCAGATTTTTTTCTAATTCTACTTCCTTAAATTGGATTCCTTAAATTCTAGATTCTGTTTTATACCTCAATTCAACGGCCTCAATTAAACTGGGGTTTAAAAGACATTCTCAAATAAATTTTGAATGGTGCACCACCCTGGAATGGATATTTATTTGGACTGAAACTGAACTGACTGAAACTGAAGTTCCCCAATAAACCCATCAAATCATATTCAAGTGGCTTGATTAAATCTCCACCCAGCAACTCAGCAACTGTAGCAACTCAACTATGTACTATATTATGAAAAATAATCTACAATATAGCTTTCATTAGGACTCACTTGTTCCTTTCAGCAGGATTTGATGACACAGCTTTGACCTGAACTCCAGAGATCTTTATGTTAATGCCTCGTCTTTTCCCCGGGCCTTTAGCTGCAACAAAGAAATAATACAAATTAAAGATGATTAAAAAAAAAAAGGAAATTAATCACTCTTTTGACTTAGCACTGCTATTAACATTCACACACCTTCCACAGGGTTTTCTTTCATGTGCTCCTCATGCTCCTGCACTGCAGTCACACAGGTGTTGTGCACCAGTTCCCCGAGTCTCTTCAGGTCTGCAATGGACTTATCCACCAGCTCAGAGTCACGGGCAATCGCCTCCAACCTGTACAAAACACCATATCCAGTTCAGTACTACTTTTAATTGGACTACATGTTGTTGCTGTTAATTTAAAAACTATTAAAAATGTTTTCTGTTAATTGAAATAAAGCTGAATTAAAATAGAAATATTAGATGAAAAACATAAACAGGTCAACAATTCTAATTTTTTATTTTATTTTAAGTTGAAGTACTAAAAACTAAAACTGAAATGTAAATGAAAGCGAAATAAAAAATATTATAAAAGCCAAAACTCAAAAAAAATGACAAAATCAGTAAGTATAGCAATGAAATATAAATCAAAATATTAATAAATATTATAATAGTATATAAATAATACTAACATAACATTGTTCAGTACTGCTTCTCACTGGACTACATCATTAAAAAAAGAGAACTAAAAACATCACTAATTATTAAAGACATGGTTCACCCAAAATTTGTTTACTAATATTAGCATTATTTACTTGCAAACCCATATGCTGTCATTTCTTCATTACTGTTATTTTTTTTAATTTATTTATTACTGTGAGAAGAGATAATGCCAACCCTCAGACAACATACAAAACTACCAAATTATATTGCTATAAGTTTGATCGCAACATATAATCATTGCTGTTAATAGTGTTCACCGTCTGTTTGATTACATGACATTAAGGCCCAATTCCAATTCTATTTTATACCCCTTCCCCCCTTGAAACAGAGTGTCAAGGGCTAGGGGTGAAAATATTCCCCTAAGAATTGGGACACCACTACTATGCCGTCAAAAATAAACTTGAATTGAACTCAACTAAATATTACTGTACTTTTCATTTCAGGGTGACCTATTCCTTTAAATAGAATACAAAATTTGGAATTGCAACAAAAAATATCATTTCTGATCATAGCATTTCTTACCTCTCAAGCGGAGCTCCAAATTTCTTGTATGCTTTTATAAACCTACAATAAATAGACCATTAAGTAAATGAAATGTTTACAGCAAAGCCCTCTTAAATTAGTAAGTGGATGTTAAGTTATATTACCTGCGGATCTCTGCGTCAGTAAATCCCTCCACATTGTTTTTGCGAGCTCTCGGCCTGCCTCTTCGCTTGGGCCGTTTGTCATCCTCACTATCATCTGTTTCACTGTCTGAAGCTGAGGATCTGTGCTTCAGTTTGGATCCCACGTCACTGTCACTGTCATTGGCCTGCGCCTAAAATCACCACAATACACCTTTTTAAAAATGCGCTATGGACATAGCCTTGCAGAATGTATTTTTCTTGAATTCTCTCCATTAGTGTTAATTTTGTCAGCTATTTTCACTTTAGTCTTAGTCCCGGGCTAAAATGTCCTTGTTAGTTTTTATCATATTTAGTCAACCTTATCCTATTTAGTTTTAGTCAAGTTTTAGTCGACTAAAAGTCTCAACATTTTAGTCTAGTTTTAGTCCAAGAAAACTTGACATTTTAGCAATAAGATTATTATTAATCAACCATACAGCAGTATTCATTTTGGCAGCCATTTTTAATTTAGTCTTAGTCTTACTCAAATGATAGGATGATTCTAAGGGCCCACGCACTTTTGGGGCCCCCAGAGATTGGTTTTATTAGTAGTAACAGTAGTAGTAGTAGTAATGTAATAGAAATTATAAATGTATCTACCAAAGAGTTAGAAAATCTACAAATTTGCACTCTGATTACATAGAGCAGGAAGCACGTGAGGTTGTCATGGCAACCAGATACACTGCACGCAAATTATTATTTAATTATTTTTGCCACCATTTGCCACACTAAACTTAGCAACACGTTGAAAATAATACACAATAAACATGTCTGTCAAAACGATCTCAAAGGAGGCTTTTATTAAGCAAATCAAGGGGTGAATTACTCATCCATTGTTTAAAAAAATAATAAATACTTTGGATGGGTTTCCACAGGCAGAATACAGCTGTTAAGCTAATAGTCACATTTAGCTGAGTAAGATCATGATTGAGAAATGTTGGATACTGCTGGAAATGCTGGTGTTATGGGGTATCCTATTTATTATTTTAGGATTTTTTTGTTTGCCCCAGTGAAGCATTTCTATTAATATAACTGATTAAGTAGTCAAACTCATTCCATATCAGCAGAATAGTGTGGTACAGAAAGTCTATGTCCATAAAACAGGTTCTGAATGAATTATGTTACTGATACCTAATGGCCAAAAGCAATAGCAAAAGTAATAGGTCAATATTATTAAATTGCAGACAAAGATTTTGAATTGCTAGGCTGGCTTGTACACTGTATTGCCAAAAGTATTGGGACACCCCCTTCTAATGAACAGGGTTGACTACTTTAGTAATTTCTATTTTTTAGTTAAAAAAAAAAGCATATAATGTTATTCTAGGGAATTGTGTGCTTCTAATTTTATACCAATAGTTTGAACAGGACCCTTTTCTATTCTAACACAACAATGCCTCTGTGTATAAGGCAAGGTTCAAAAAGAAATGATTGATT